AGGGTATTATATGGTCGGCCTCGCCCGACTATAATTTCTTACTTGTTTTTTTTTAATTTTCTTGCAAAAATTGCCTTTTTTAATACCCAAAAGATAGACCACAAAAGTATATATATTCTGGGTCCTTATTAAATTCTAAGACGATCTAGCTAAGTCTGTACGTCTATCTGTTCGTTTATCTGTCTGTCTGTTAAAAGCACGATAGAGTCCGAACGGAACGAGATAGAGTATTGAAAATTTCCGCAAACATTCTCTATAGTTTTGGTATTGAAAATGGGCAATATTGGTCTCGTTTTCGGATAGCACCCATACAAGTATATATATTCTGGGTCCTCATCAAATTCTAAGTCGATCTAGCCATATCTGTCTGTTAAATGCACGATAGAGTCCGAACGGAATGGGCTAGAGGATTTCCACAAAAATGCTCTATGGGTATGGTTTATTTGGTATTGAAAATGGGCAATATCGGTCCACGTTTTCGTATAGCCCCCATACCAGTGGACCACCGAAAAACAGCTTAAACGGGCATATCTTTTTTAAAAGTACTAGTATAGCAATGAAATTCGACATAAGTAAGTTATATATGATTCGAAATCTACCTACTAAATATCAGGATCGGTGCATAATGACCCTACCCTCCATATAAGGTGCCTTTCAGAAAATGACTCTAACTCTCATTACTGTCTTAAAAATATGAATATAGTGACTAAATTCGACTCACATAAGTTTTATGCGAGCCAAAATCTCTCTACCAAATTTAGTCAGAATCGGTCTATAATTCACCCTACCCTTCATATAAGGTCCCCTTCAGAAAATGACTTTTACGCTCATTATGCGCTAAATAATACGAGCATAGCGATAAAATTTGACACAAGTAAGTTTCACGCGAGCCAAAATCTCTCTACCAACTTTTATGTGGATCGATTCATAATTCATTCTACGCCCCATATGAGGACCCTTACAGAAAATGACTTGAACTCTCCATACTGGCTTAAAAATACGAATAAAACGATGAAATTAGACACACGTAAGTTGTATACGAGTATAGCGATAAAATTTAACACATGTAAGTTCCTTGCGAGCCCAAATATTTTGACAAAATTGTTGACCCTACCCTCCATATAAGGTTGCCTTCAGAAAATTACTTAAACGATCATTGCTGGCTTAAATATAGGAGATATGAAATACGGTTACGAAATTCGACATATGAAACTTATATACGAACGTTTTTCTCGCTACCGAATTTCATGCAGAATGTGTCGGTAACTCACCCTAATAATAATTGATCCTACCACTCATATTCAGATTTTGATGATTAGGATTAAAGAAATTACGAGAAAGTTTATACTTAGGAACATAATTCTTCATTCCGAATTTGATGAGGATTGATCTATAATTGACCCTTAGCCTAATAAAAGGTTCTCTTCAATAAAGGGGTTCGCTTATTAAAAAAAACGAGTTCTTCTTTAAGAATACAAGTATAGCGATGAAATTTGACAAAATCTATGTTCAAAATTTTATGAGTATCGGTTCATAATTGACGCATATAATGTTCTCTTCAGAAAATTACTCAGAGACGGCCTCTATTCGTAACTTCTATAAAATTACATAATTTTATATGTGGAACTCAAGTTTACAGTGAGAATGACTAAATGATAATAATGTGAATGATAGAATTTTTTGATTTCCATATTCGGAATCAGCACACAAAATGTGTCGGTACTGATCAGATAAGGGGCTCATAAAAGACTATTTTAGAAGAATCGCAGATAGAGTACTAAATCGCTGTACTCGTATTGGCTAAGTCCACATTTCAGTTCGTATTAAACTTGTTTCATCGCTATACTGGTATTTTTAAAGAAGCTATGACTGCTTTAGGTTATTCCAGGGGCAATATATATGGGAAATAAGTAAAAACATTGATTGATATTTCATTTCCCATTTCGCTAGATCGTCATAAAATTTTATATGAACCCAGAATATATATAAATACATCCAATATTTCGATGTGTTACAAACAGAATGACAGAATCAATATACCCCCATCTTGGTCAAAACGGAGTCTCTTCGTCTCTACTCGATTGTTCGCGCGTAGTGAACTACCCCCATCTTTTTAATAATTCTTTCTTAAATTCTAATATTCAATCATATTGTTCAACTTTTATTTGTTTTTGTTTTTTTCCCAGACCGTTTCCAATTTCTACTGTTATATGTCGCTAATCCTTCAACAATTACGCGTACTTTTCCTTCTGTAATCCAAGACGATTTGAAATTAACTACACCACTAATCAAAGGTATATTTATTTCAGATTCCATTGACCCCAAGTTTGCTATAAACATATCGTGCTAAAATGTAAAATTTAATATATTTAATTTACTTAAAATCGAATTTATTGCAGTATGTACTTACATCATAAGGACATGTATGATTTATATTTGTATAATCACTGATCATGCCATAAAACTTTTTCAGGGATTTAAAACGTTTTCTATTCGCCATAAATTCGCAGAAATCCCAAGTTGTATTAAAATTTATCGGAGTTTTCATTGTCCTAAAGGTAAATGCTATTTGAAATTTAAAATCGGTTACCGGAACCTTAAGTAGTTTTAAATAGAGAGAAAGTTCGTTCATATTGTTTGTTTTATTTTTTCTTAATTCACAATATTCAAATTTTGAATATTTTTCATCGGTTGAACGACAAGAAACATTTTTCCACAACACTTGTGCCCGATACTAAAATGTTAAGAATTATGATGTTATGACATTTTTCCTATTCAAAGTAAATAACTTACTCTCTTAAATAAAATAATTTGCAATGCAAATATTAAATATAACTTTGGAACTGTTTTATAAAAATTCATATTTTTTTACTTTGTAAAGACTAAAGTGTCAGACAGCCAGTCAATTTTGGCAGGGTTAATCATTTGGATATAATTTTGTTCCATTTATATAAAAAGCACTTAAATATTTATTTTAAATATTCATTTAAATAACAAGAAAGTTGTAGCCAATCAACCTAGTCAATATTTAATGTAAATACCCTACACCATTAATTATTTTGTAAAATAATGTAATCCTTTAAAAATTTGGAGGCAAATACTTCCACGTTCGCTTACAAATAGTTAAGAAGTACTTGCAATTTCTCTTACAGAGAAGTTGTTTAGTAAGTTGTTTTATTTTTTATTAATAATAAAAAGAGACAGCTAGAATACGAACCAGGGACTTTGATTTGTTAGTCAAATGCTATAAGAAAGTCATTACTAGAGTACTTCTAAGTAATGCAGGTGGTAAGTAGTAGTCATTAAAAAGCAAGTGGTTATGGAAGTACAACCCATTACCGAGTTTTTGCTGTGAGCTATTAAAATATACATTCTTCTTAAAGTGTACTTTTAAATCAATTAAATTGCGATTTATATCCAGCAAAACCTATTCAACTAGATCGATAACAGGTCAATGACGGATAGAAGTCAGCGTTCTCTGAAACGTGTGTTTTACGTCTATTATTATAAATTATTATGATGACATTTTTGAAATAATTAAAATGGGATTAATAACTGAAAATTTTAGTTAAACCAAAACGAGAAAAATAAATAAATAAATTTGTTTTTGTTTAAAATGGGGCCTCAGTTCCCTACCTACCCATAGATTGAAAATCTTGATCTCGGGACAATATGTTAAATCGGCCATGTTTCCGAAACGGTTGTCAAAAATTTTGTAATTAAAAAATATTTTAAAATTTATTTTACAGTAGTTTTGGTTCACATTTTTAGTGGGCTTAAGTGGACTTTCATCAAAATAGGTGTAATTGTTTCAATTTCTTGCTTTTACAGAAAAATATTTGAAAAATTGTTTAGTATTTGGTTCGACTTGGCAAATTTCTGAATATTTGAGATTATTTTAGAATTTATATGCCTCTTATAACACCGTCCGACACTCAAAATTAGACACGAACCGGATGCTATACGTCTGAAACTATAAATTTAATGGAGTTAAAGGCATATTTAGTTTTTCCTGTGCCCTATTTAAAGGCCTTCTAAGTTTTAAAAAGTACATTTTTCAAAAAGTATTTCAAAATACTTCTACTGATCAAACAATGCGCAATTTGAAGTATTTTAAAAAGGACATAGGATCACGCAATGAAAAACCAAAAAACGAAGTTTTTCTAAATTAAATTTATAGTTTAAGACGTATACCATCAGGTTCGCGCCTAAGGAATTTTTTCTCTTTTTGCCGAACAGTGTAAAAATACGATTCCCACTCTGTTGGAGGAAGGGGCGTATTAGTTATTTAGTTAGTAAGTTAGTTAGTTAGTTAGTTAGTTAGTTAGTTAGTTAGTTTGTTAGTTAGTTAGTTAGTTAGTTAGTTAGTTAGTTAGTAGTTTAGTTAGTTAGTTAGTTAGTTAGTTAGTTAGTTAGTTAGTTAGTTAGTTAGTTAGTTAGTTAGTTAGTTAGTTAGTTAGTAGTTAGTTAGTTAGTTAGTTAGTTAGTTAGTTAGTTAGTTAGTTAGTAGTAGTTAGTTAGTTAGTTAGTTAGTTAGTTAGTTAGTTAGTTAGTAGTTAGTTAGTAGTAGTTAGTTAGTTAGTTAGTTAGTTAGTTAGTTAGTAGTTAGTTAGTTAGTAGTTAGTTAGTTAGTTAGTTAGTTAGTTAGTTAGTAGTTAGTTAGAGTTAGTTAGTTAGTTAGTTAGTAGTTAGTTAGTTAGTAGTTAGTTAGTTAGTTAGTTAGTTAGTTAGTTAGTTAGTTAGTTAGTTAGTGTTAGTAGTTAGTTAGTTAGTTAGTTAGTTAGTTAGTTAGTTAGTTAGTTAGTTAGTTAGTAGTTAGTTAGTTAGTTAGTTAGTTAGTTAGTAGTTAGTTAGTTAGTTAGTTAGTTAGTTAGTTAGTTAGTTAGTTAGTTAGTAGTTAGTTAATTTGTTAGTTAATTGTTAGTTAGTTAATTAATTAGTTAATTAATTAGATCTGTATCTCATTTACCTGTTCTACTTGGTTGTGACTGTGGTCTCGTTGAATGATGTGATGTTGTCCTACTGCGTGGCCTATCATCTGAACTGTGCACACTGGGACTTAAAGAACCGGGTGATTCTGTAGTACGTTGTATACGTTCAATATATGTTTGACTAGAACGTGGACTAGGAGCTCGACTAAAAGTAAATAATAAAATTAAAGTGTTTTTTAGTATTGCAATATTAATAAGAAACAGTTATTTGCTTTCGACACTAACCTATATGCCAAATTTTGTAAATGTTGCTGCTGTGTACTTGATCGTGTGGCGTTTGACGCTGTGTTTGTTGTTGTTGCTGCTGTTGCAATAGCACAGAATGTGGCACTAATGGTGGCTGTGGCAAATACATATCTTCTAATGTAGTACGACCACAACTTTCCACCAAGCCCGGTGTTGACTGACATCGACCCATGGCAACTGTATTAAAGTATTGTACTGTATTGTATTTTTTCGTATACAAATAAATAAATAGAATTTAAATTTCTTTTCGGTTGTCTTTTTTCTGGTTTTCAAATTATTTTTTTATGTTAATGTATGTTATTATAATGTATTTAAATGTTGTTTAATGTTTGTTTTTTGTGCAATGAGCAATTAATTTAATAAATGAAAATAATTAAGTGATTTAGTAGAGAAATGAATGAATGAATGTTTGATGTAGAGGTGGTATGTTAAATTTTGAGAGAGTTGGTGAGCTAGAAATTTTGATGTAGCGAATTTTATGTTTTCCTTTAATGATTTTTTTAATGTTATTGATGAATGCTTGTAAATACCTTTTTCCAATGGTGCTTTTTTATATTTCTCTAAACGTTTAACAGCAATTGATTCCAGTCGTACACGTGCGGCGGGATATTCCTTTAAAACGTCCCACATATCCTTTTTGCTCAGCACGAATAAATCACTGTAACCCACGGAACGTACAGATGCTGTACGACGATTACCTGTGAACATCAATGTTGTAATGATGTTGATTTTATTAAAAAAAAAAAACAGGATTAAAAAATATAGAAAAAATAAAAATAATGAATTATTTTTTTTTCGCAGTAGTTGTTGAAACACATAATTAATTTTTGTTAAATTTTAATTGGAATTTAATAAAATTAGAATAAATGATAATTAAATAATATCTAATTAAATATGTATGTAACATGCTATTTGTATGCTGATAAATAAATAAATAAATATGTATGGATTTTGTTTATAGTTTTTATTTAACACCTGCACATTAGACTGGCTCCAAAATATACATATGAGGAAGTAATTTCAAAGAGAAATATATTTTCTAGAGTACATAGTCCTGAATATAGGCTGGACTATGATCTAGTATACAGTCAGGACTATAGTCTGGTCTATTGTCTAGTCTCTAGTACGGACTATACTATGGACTATAGTATGAACTATAGACTGCAATATAGTATGGACTATAGATTAAACTTTAGTCAAAACTGAATTATGGTCTACTCTGAACAATATTCTATAATCTAGACTATATTGTGGACCATAGTCTGGACTGTAGTCTATAGTCTAGTATATAGAGTGGACTATAGTCTAGTCTATAATCTCGGCTATAGTCTAGTCTATAGTCTAGTCTATAGTCAAGACTATAGTCTTGTATATAGTCTGGACTATTGTCTAGTCTATAGTCTGGACTATTGTCTAGTCTATAGTCTGGACTATAGTCTAGTCTATAGTCTAGACTACAATCTAGTCTATAGTCAGGACTATAGTCTGGTCTATAGTCTGGACCATAGTCTAATCTATAGTCTAGACTATTGTCTAGTCCGAACTTTAGTCTAGTCTATAGTCTGGACTATAGTCTAGTCAATAGTCTGGACTATATTCTTGTCTATAGTCAGGACTATAGTCTAATCTATAGTCTGGACTATAGTCTAGTCTATAGTCTGGATAATAGCCTAGTCTATAGTCTGGACTATAGTCTAGCCTATAGTCTGGACTATAGTCTAGTCTATAGTCTGGACTATAGTCTAGTCTATAGTCTGGACTATTGTCTGGTCTATAGTCTGGACTATAGTCTAGTCTATAGTCCATACTATAGTCTAGTCTATAGCCTGGACTATATTCTAGTCTATAGTCAGGACTATAGTCTAGTCTATAGTCTGGACTGTAGTCTAGTCTATAATTTGGACTATAGTCTAGTCATTAGTCTGGACAATAGTCTAGTCTATAGACTGGACAATAGTCTAGACTATAGTCTGGACTATATTCTAGTCTATAGTCAGGACTATAGTCTAGTCTATAGTCTGTACTATTGTCTAGTCTATAGTATGGACTATAGTCTAGTCTATAGTCCATATTATAGTCTAGTCTATAGTCTAGTCTATAGTCTGGACTATTGTTTAGTCTATAATCAGGAACATTGTATAGTCTATAGTCGAACTATAATCTAGTCTATAGTCTGGACTATAGTCTACTCTATAGCCTGGACAATAGTCTAGTCTATAGTCTGGACAATAGTCTAGTCTATAGTCTTTACAATAGTCTAGTCTATAATCTGGACAATAGTCTAGTCTATAGTCTGGACTATAATCTAGTCTATAGTCTGGACTATTGTCTAGTCTATAGTCTGGACTATAGTCTAGTCTATAGTCTGGACTATAGTCTAGTCTATAGTCTGGACTATAGTCTAGTCTATAGTCTGGACTATAGTCTAGTCTAAAGTCTGAACTATAGTCTAGTCTATAGTCTGGACTATAGTCTAGTCTATAGTCTGGACTATAGTCTAGTCTATAGTCTGGCCTATAGTCTAGCCTATAGTCTGGACTATAGTCTAGCTTACAGTCTGGACTATAGTCCACTATAGTTCTAGGACTATAGTTCTGGTACTTCCTATTTATACGATATCGTGCTTTCAGCAGACAGACGTAGTACATAGCTAAATCGTCTGTATCTAATGAGGCCCAAAGTGGAACTAAAGATTTGTATGTAAATTTAAATCTTTATTTGCTGCAGCAGTCTAATGTAAATAGTTCCTATCAGTCTAAAGTTCTATATAAAAAGATAAATATTATGTGATATTATATAATAATGAAAATTTATTAGTGTAAGTTTGGGGGAGGAATTTTAATTATCGTTTCAATTATAACAATTGCAATGAGAGACATGCATAAACACGTTTAAATTCATTTAATATTAATATATTTTTTGCTGATCCCTGATAGTTATTATCTATTGAAAATTGGATTAAATGCATTATTATATTTTAAGTATTTTTAAATTATTTATATGTAGACAATAAGGCACAGTATGACGTCACAGTAATTTTTAATACAAAAGTAAACTTTTATTAAATAAGGAGAAATTACTATGAACATGAGACGTATAATCAGCCGCGTAGTTTATATGTTCCCAGAAAGATGGGAAATGGGTTTAGGACACAAATACATACTTTGACTAAATTTACAGGGTCTCATTAATAATAACTTATTAAAGGTTTATAGAATAATTTTTTTATTTTTTTTTTATTCGATAAATTTGCATGATTTTCTAATTTCAATTTCTCCATTAATTCGTGACCTTTCTATTGTTGGAAAATTTGCTTTATTATATATATGTGTTCTCTAAACCAATTAAAATGCATGAGTGTATATGTGTGAATTGGATATGTGCTTCGTGCAAAATGTTTTATTTTATTTTTCTAATCGTAACTAAAAAGCATTCATCGAATCCACAAAAAATTCTATTTGATTTTTGCAAAAATAATTTTTGATTTTTTACGCTTAATTAAAACAAATAAATATTTTATGCATCAAATATTTAATGTTGATGAATGGGGGGGATAAAATAACAAAAACTCAAAAATAATTTAATGAAAATAAACAAAATTTTATTTTGAAAAACCAAAAAAATAAAACTAATAAAACAAATCAAAATAGAACAAATTTAAATAAATCAAAAATAAAACTAAAAATATTACCATAAAGGTTACTAAACAAATACAAACAACAGTTTTGGATTTTTTTAATACGGCCAGGCATAGCAATACAATAAATAGAAAAATTATTATTGAGAAAATTGGAAAAAGGGGGAGGAGTCTGTCTTTTTTTTGTATTTGGTTTAAAATAGGTGGTAATAATAGTTAACACACAAATACATATACATTTCATACAAATATTTAATACTAAACATTTTTTTAAACTAAAAATTGTTTTTCTATTTTTTCTAGGGTTTTAAAACTTAATAACTATTATGTGGAAATATTTTATTTTTAAACGTATTTGTGCAATTATCTTATTATTAAATACGAAAAAAATTTAAATTGTTTTATTCAGCTCGATTTGTTTGTTATAAAATATTTACAAAAGGCAAGTTCAAGTTTTTTTAATTTTATTATTGTTTAAGGAGTCCGTTAGTCCGTATAAAAATCTGGCTGGAAATATCCGGTAAACCACGATTTTAAATTTCAGTCCACGATAACATTCCATTTGGGGTTTCTAACAATATTTAACATTTGGAGAAATAGTAAAACAATAAAGCGATCGTAGAACATTTAAAGTTTATGGAAAAGTTAGGTCCATATTGAGGTAAATGCAGAGGTTCAAGAACAGTATTCACCATAAATTAGATAGTAGTCTTGAGTAGAATCTGAACTGTAGTGTTGACTGTATTTATGTAGTCTTATCATTTTAACCCTTGGCTATAATCTTGACTACAGCCTGGTTAACCTTTTTAAACTAACGAACTAACAAACTACTAACGAACGAACTAACTACTAAAACTAACTAACTAACGAACTAACGAAACGAACGAACGAACGAACGACGAACGAACAACGAACGAACGAACAACGAACGAACGAACGAACAACGAACGAACGAACGAACGAACGAACGAACGAAAAAACGAAAAAACGAACGAACGAACGAACGAACGAACGAACGAACGAACGAACGAACGAACGAACGAAAAGAACGAAAACGAACGAAGAAAACGAACGAACGAAACGAACGAACGAACGAACGAACGAACAAAGAACGAACGAACGAACGAACGAACGAAACGAAACGAACGAACGAACGAACGAACGAAAACGAACGAACGAACGAACGAACGAACGAACGAACGAACGAACGAACGAACGAACGAAACGAACGAACGAAGAACGAACGAAACGAACGAACGAACGAACGAACGAAAACGAACGAACGAACGAACGAACGAAACGAACGAACGAACGAACGAAACGAACGAACGAACGAACGAACGAACGAACGAACGAACGAACAACGAACGAACGAACGAACGAACGAACGAACGAACGAACGAACGAACGAACGAACCGAACGAACGAACGAACGAACGAACGAAAGAACGAACGAACGAACGAACAACGAAAACGAACGAACGAAACGAACAACGAACGAACGAACGAAGAACGAAGAACGAACGAACGAAAACGAACGAACGAACGAAACGAACAACGAACGAACAACGAACGAACGAACGAACGAACGAACGAAAACGAACGAACTAAACGAACGAAGAACGAACGAACGAACGAACGAACGAACGAACGAACGAACGAAAACGAACGAAAACGAACGAACGAACGAACGAACGAAAGAACGAACGAACGAACGAACGAACGAACGAACGAACGAAAACGAACTAACGAACGAACGAACGAACGAACGAACGAACGAAACGAAACGAACGAACGAACGAACGAACGAACTAACGAACGAACGAAGAAACGAACGAACTAACGAACGAACTAACGAACGAACGAACGAACACACAACGAACGAACGAACGAAAACGAACGAACGAACGAACAAAACTAACTAACGAACTAACTAACGAACGAACTAACGAACGAAAAAACTAACTAACTAACGAACTAACTAACTAACTAAACTAACTAACTAAAACTAACTAAAACTAAAACTAACTAACTAACTACTTAGTTACTGACTTACTAATT